ACATGTAAACAGCATATAAACACCATATCATGATTTGTATATGATTGACATATGTGTGGCTTTTTCATAACGTGATTAAAGGAAGGAAGCAATTGAAGAAGAAGAAGATAACCAATTTCAAGTTTCTGAAGGCAAAATAACTATGGATCAAAGCTATGGAATTGATTGAAAGGCTCCAATTTTTTCTAATGCAAGAAGAAAGAGGAATGGGTATTAGTGAGAGTTTCCTTCGTGAATTAAACAAATTTAAAAGAGAATTAAAGAAAGAAATTTTTATGTCAATGGCTCAAACAGAAATTGATACCTATTTTAGTTAAATGATTTTGTAAATTATGATAGGAGATTCTAAAATTTTAAATTTACTACCCCATTTATCCGATTATAAAAAACCCCGTTAATCCGAAGAAAAGTCCCTGCACAATTGCCTTTGGTTTAACGGGGTTGCATATGTAAAAAATAACTCACTAACTAGTGATAAATTTTTCTAAAGAAGAACTATTAGTTTGCATGTATTGTATCCAGTGTGGAATCCTAAAATAAATAAATAAAAATAGGGCATTGTTATTCGTACCCATTTTTGTTATTCACACCCCTCCCGTGATTAAGACAACCACATTTTAAAGCCATTCATTGGTCACATTACTACACTTAGTCACGGGAGGGGTGCGAATAACAATTCCCTAAAAATATGGTACAAATAAACATGACGCCAAGTCATTCCAACGAATACGATTTTATGAGGAGTTGTGCATTGTAAATTTTTTTTATGTATTGTCACGTCGTTAAAAAATAAATAAAAATATCGGCCGCGTAACTCAAATGAGCTCTTGCTAACTATTTACTCATATGTTAAGTCAAGTTTAGTCAAGTTTAGTCAAGTTTAATCAAGACAAAATTATTATATATATACTAATTAAGATTTAATCCCTTCACCAGCCCTGACAAATACCCGCATCAGTCCCATACATGTAACCAGTAGTATTACTTGTTTTATCACTGTTATGCCCATTGTTAGCTATGATCGTCATTATAACGTGTTATTAACAAGTATAGATTTCTAAATTTGGTCTCAAGCAGTTGTAAAAAATTTATCACGTTATATATATATGCATTATCAGAAAATTTGAAATGTTATGCTTGGCTCACTACCAGATTTTTTATGTTACATTGAATCGCTACAAGTTTATCTATAGTTAATCTTCAAGGTTTTTCTATTACTGTAAATAGAAAATAAGCGAAACTGAAAAATACCTACGTCTCAAAAAAATTTGCAAAGTTTCTTTTGTTATTATTATTATAATTATTGTTCAGAAAGAATCATACAATTATCATTTATTGTCATATAATAACAATAGCGATGGTGTATTGATTATTCAAAAAAATTTTGTCCAACAAATATAAAGTAAAATAATTTTTTCTTTATGATATTTATTGTTCAGTTAAAACTTGTTTGTTACAACATTTTACAACATGTGGGTAGGGATCAATTAAATTTTTCTTTTATTTTTCATATCCAACAAACATCATGTTTTGAAATATTATTCGAAATGAATACATGACAATGTCCCAAAAATTTTGATTATTTTGTCATGATTATTTTTTAATTATTGAGTAAATCAATCCATCCGTATTCATGTTTTTGGGGAAATTTTTTTCCATTGAAAATATTTCTTTTGGAAATATAAAATAATTCTTTTAATGAATATATAATGTTAGAAAATAATTCCTTTAATGAAAATAAAAATTCAAAGAATACAACAAATACTAACAAATCATTCACCTGGTCCAAGTAACTGGACAAGTGGTGTTAGTA